TCATGTTAGTCAAAAAGAACAGTTTATCGAGCTGATAATAATATAATATAAAAGAAGAAAGTATGATTTATTAAACGTTAATCACCAATATTGAGAGCCACATATCTCAAAAACTAAACGGGATCTTGATGATACGGCCAAAGAGAATATATATATTACCTATAATTAATTAGCATAGTTAATGCACTCGTTGATGTGTTGTATATAAGAGTTAATCAAAACTAATCTACTGGAAAAAAATGAATAAAACGGAAGAAAAAAAATAGATTTTATATATTCTCTCGCTTATGCAAACATTATAGAGGAGCGCTTTATTCGTTATTCACTATAGCAAACTATATTTCATTTATAACGAGTAAAGAATATTCGAATAATGAATAGAGCTCTAGCAGTTAAAAAGAATGAGATTGATTCGCATTCATTCTATTCTCTTTCTCTATCTATGACTCATTTTCGCGTTACAAACAAAAGAAATGAAAAATTTTCTTTCGCTTTCTGTGTAGATAAACAAAATGGCGGCATGTAACGAAAAGAAACACGAACACAAACAGTAGATATATTTTCCAAAGCCAAACAGAACTTCGAGATTATTTTGAGCTCGTGAGTACCGTATCATCTCTTCTAGTTTATTATACTAGAAGAAAAAACAAACAAAAGAAAATAATCAATAACCCACTTTGGGTTAACAACAAAAAGCCCTTCATTAGGCACCTTAACTGTAAATCAGTGCCCAATCTGGGTAAAAAAAGAAGCCCTGCATTATGCATACCTAACTTGTGAATCAGTGTCGTTACTCCACGGTCAGTCGTAAGTAAAAAAACAAATACGTTTAATTGAGTTCATTATTATTTGTATCGTCCTCATCGGCTATATTTATGAATGAAATTATATTTTGTTCGGCGTATGATTCGAACGGCTTGAGAACATCTTCAATACGAGAAATAAGGGAATTTACACGAATCGATGGAGGCAATCGGCGTATTTTGGAGGGAGGAGATACATTTTCAATCTCATATTTGTCATCAATATCGGTTATTTCTATTGTACGTTTTTGAGGACCTTTTTTTGGAATACGTGTTGTTTGAGAATGATTCAAATTTGTTCGTGGTCGTATTATTGTACTTTGTTCAACCCGTTCGAGAGATAATGATGGAGCGGTTGTTGTTGGTGAGAATTTCGTTTCCGGTAATGGTGCAAGTACTGTTACTGCTAATGTGTTCGTGTCAATACCTTTGCCTGAACTTAACGATGTAGCAATCAACGAAAAACAAATCCCATACCATTTAATTGCGTTCTTAATGGCAATGTTGTTATTACTTTCAATGTTTCAACAATTATATCAGCGTATTGTGCATGTACCGATGATAGTTCCAAATCTTCGTATTTAAATGGTAATGGAGGTTCATCACCTGTTAAATCATCTGTTTGTTGTAACGAGGGTAACGGCGATGATAGGGCAGTTGATGATGTACGAAAATTCGACATAAAAGATGGTATTGATAGTAAACAATTGTCATCGACCGATTCGAAATTCTTAAAGGAAAGACAGGATTTTTTGTTTACTTATTATCAAACGAGAAAATTCTTTTCAATACGTAGTCTTTTTAAGCAAAGTATTTCTGCAAAATTTTCGTGAAAGTTTTTTCGGTATTTTTATTGTTGTTTCTGAGCTGACACATCAGAGTACTTCAAGGCAGAGTCTTGTGTGACATCAACAGAATATATTATTATATATACTGTGGTAGACTGTGCTAATGGTGGTGTTGGATTTGGCAATGGATCACTGCTTATTCCATGAAGCAACACATGATCAAGTGCATCACCACGTTGTTGTATTAAACATTGTGGATCCGATAAACGTGCTGCACTGACCCTTTACACACAGAAGAAAATTATGCAACTGTTCAGAAGTCTATTTATGTATTGCATACTTTTTTCCAGCTTGTTCCTAAACATCGTTTACTCTTCTGACTCGGCTGGTGGCTGTTAACGCAACATAATGCTCAGTTATCTCTCCGTAATTCATCGTAATCAGTTTTTGAACAGTATTTCTGGAATGTTTAATACCCTGATTGTAAAGACCAGTAATAACTTCGATTTCTAAATCCGATATTGGTCTATACAATGCTCTTTGGCGTGTTGTCATTTTGACGGTTGAAATTTAACGTTTAAGCAAAAAGAGTGTATTTTAAGCAAGTAGCTTAATTCTTTTTTTGTTTATATATAATTCAACGGTTCCTTCACGTTTTCTTTCGAAGAATCTCGAATTTATTAACAAATTAAAAAAAATAAGGACACAAGCACATATTTGTAGACAGATAGAATTAGCTAGGAGTAAAAATAAACGTGTTCTGTTTACTAAAATATTCTGTGATTATTTTATAAAAAAGTCTATCTACATTCTTCTCAACATGAATCAGCAGCAACATCAATAAGTATGCATAAAGACACTGCAAATGTTAAGATTTTTATCTCGTGTTATTCCACCTTTGACTGAACTTGTACAAGGTGTAGAATTAAATCAGTTAGATGAGTTTAAATTTTATTTTCTACAATTTACACAAAGTTTACATATTATGCCACTTTTACCACGTTTTACTATATATCATATCACCATGCCTGTTGACCATTACGAAAGAAGAGCACTTACTGACTTATATACAGAATGAGGACCAACACCAAGACTATTTTGCTCTTTAACGGGAATTATCCTACAATCTTTCGCAGACATTTAAGAGCCATTGCACGTAAGCCACGACCGACGTTCTTCAATCGATATTCTCGAAACTTTTCCAAAGTAGGGGGGCTTTTGTAGACCAAACATTTTAAGGAATTTTGGTAA